CGGGGCGGGCTGGGCACAGGCCGGGGTCCCCGCGCTCCCCGCTGGCTGCAGGCGCCGAGCGCGCCCCTCGCGGCTCCGTCCGGGACCACCCCGGGCGCACCTGTCACGCGCCTTACCTGAGTGGCTTTGTGGAATTGCTTCTTGAGCCCGGCTACCGACATGGTGCGGGAGGACGTGCGGGCGGCTGCGGTGCTGGTGCGGAAAGAGACGGCGGCGGAGCGGGACCGGAGGGCCGAGCGGGGCGGCGCGCTCGACGGGCGGCCGCTTGTCGTGCCGCCGCCGGGGCTGTGGGCGCGGGGGCGCGGAGCGGCGCGGGACGCGGGCTCGTGCGGAGAGACACCCTGACGTCAGGGGCGGGTGATGCGGCCTCTTAAAGGGAAAGCGGGAAGCCCCGCCCCGGGCGCGGGGCTGGCGGGGCAGGTGCTGCGGCCCGCGCTACCTGTGCGCCTACCGCGGAGATCCGGCTTCAGGACAGCCGCGAGCCGGCTGCGTGCTTAAAGGGCCGAGGGCGTTCTCCCAACGCGGGAGTGGGGTGCGTGGCCCCGCACCCTGCGGACCAGTCGCTGCAGCTTGGCAGCCCAGGCACGGGCGCGACTCAGGTGACTTGCTGGGCTTCCAGGTAGCAGCAGCGGCGCTGCCTGAAGCTGGCCCATCTGCCCTTTGAGCCTCTCTGCCTCCTGGAAAGGAGGTGTTCTATCTGGGGTAATTAATAAGTCATTGCTCCTTCTCTGCCTTGCGCCCACTTGGTTGGTCACAGAACACATTTCTCTGCCCTGGTTCCTGGTTTCAATACTCCAATATCCCTTAAGCCTCCAAAACGTTGCGGAAAGCCAACAAAACGATTTTTCTTTTTTTTTTTTTTTTTTTTTTTTTTTTTTTTTTTTTTTTTTTTTTTGATAACGCTTGAAGAAGAAGGAGAAGGAAAAAACATTTAAAGCCTTAAAGCTGGTCAGGTAAATAGAATTGAAATGGACTATTACTCCAGTAATAGCATTTTAATCCTGTGATTATAGACAGAAAAGTCCAAATGTGAATTTGGTATTCACTTATGATAGTGGTTTTAGGATTTTCAATCTGAGCATTACACATGAAAAAGCATAATACTAAACTGTGCAAATTTTACATACATAACAAAGTATGTATAGCTGGGCTAAAGCCAAATACTGATGGAATTAGGTTAATTTGTAGCACAGCAGCACTACCATGGTTTCTGTCTTCTGGTGATTAGCCATTTACCCTGATTTGTCTTGGACTGAGAAGCCCATAGAAAAGAACTTGAACACTGTCCCCACATGGGGACCAAATTTGTAAGGAAGAGAAGGCAGAGCGACAGAAGGCAAGGTAAGTGGATGAATAAAGAAATACGTGGCAGCAAAGGAGTTCTAGGAATTTCTTTTGTTGCCTCCATGACCTCTGCTACCTACTAACATAGACTCCCTGGCCCATGTGTATTTTATTTTTTGTCATCAAAGGTGTGTGAAGTAAGTTGCCTGTTTCATTCCTACAAAAAGCCTCACTGAAGTTTGGGTACGTATATTCTCTTTTTTGCAGTCTCACTGAAGCAATGAGCAGACTCAATCCCCAGACCTCACGATCATAGGGAATGGTGGCTCCACACACTGACCATACATACCCTGGCCTCGTAACCTGCAGATTTCTTACCAGCTAAAGAGGGTACAGAGTAAGTAAGCTCTGGTGATCTCTAGGAAATTGTAATGGAATGTCAGGGCAAGGGACAATCTGTGTCTCAGGAATCAGACAGGGAAAAACAACAGTCCTGCCAAGAAATAGGTGGGGCTACTAATCCACCAAAGTTCAGGACAACCTTTAACAAGACTTGACTGAGGCACCATGATGTAGCACAATGACTCACACCTCTAAGGCCCACCATGGGGATTCCCAGATTCTTGACATTAGGAAATTCCACAATAGTTTGTACTTACTGCAAATGGAGGTGGGGCTTTAGATAAGAGAGCTTTGGGGGCTAGTGTTACAATGACTGCTTTTGTACTCTTAACAGTTTAGTGAAGCCTGCACACGCGCGCGCACACACACACACACACACGCACGCACTCATGAAAAGAATACATAAAATGCTAATAATGGTTGGGCTGGTGGAGCAGTTTTCAAACTTTAGCATGCATCAGAATCCCCTAGAGGACTTTAAAGCAAAAAATTCCCACATTCCCAGTTTTCCATTCTAACTGGAATGGAAAATGCGGGCCCATTTCTAACAAGTTCCCAGGTGATGCTCTGCTCTGGTGGCCACACGTTGAAAACCAGGGGGCTAGAGTAGGGAGACTAGGAATTAACTTTTTTCTCTCTTCCCTCAAGTTTTTAAATGATTTCTCATCACTTGTATAATAGAAAAAGTATTCTATGGTTTATTTTACCTGCCTGCTCCCAGATCTGAACATAGAACATTTGCAAAGAAGGATGGGCCTTAGTGAAGCTGTTAAGAGAGAGAGAGCAACTAATCTCCAAAGAACAAAGGACCTGGGGTCCATGAGCTCTGGTCTTTAACCGTGACAGGTGTGAAATGAGGACCTGATGAATCTCCTCAGGACTTCAAACACTCGCCGGAAACACAAATTAAATGAAAACAAGTCTCTCTCTTTCCCTGGTTCTTCATCTACCAACTTTGAGCACCTATATTTCAAAGGAACTACCTTGGCAGAAATCGGAAGCATGGTCAATTCTGCCAAGTATCCCCTGGGTCTCATGTGAATCCACTATTTCTATCGAAGCCACCGTGCATACCTATAAAGACCTTTGAGATGTTACCTTTCAAAGAGGTTTGTTGAGGTCCCCCTTCTAGCAGGCAGCAGGGTAGGAGGTATGGGGGATGGTAGGGTGAGATGCCAAGATACATACCAACTGCATCTTGAACCCCAAGGAGCTTCCAGACCAGTAATCCAGAAAGCCCTTTTAGACATTTACTGTGACCTGAATGCAGAAGCATGAATGCACCAGACATTGGAAAATGTCAAACATGAGAGCCCTCTTTGGTTGCAAAGAAGCTGCGGCACAGGCTTCACAGAGAAATGCAGAGGCATAATGCAGGGAAAGGGGAATCAAAGGTCAATGAGGAAGAACTTTGTTTCATAAAAGGTTGTTGTAATTCAACATGCTGCCCTCTCCTCCCCGGAGATCAAATCAATGTAAAATGGTAAATAAACCTAGATGGCTCAGGAGAGGTCCAATTAAATGAAACCCCCACACAGCAGCACCTCACTAATTGGACAGGAAATTCATGGTCAGCAATAATTCCATCACATCATTCATGCACTACTTCTCCCTACATTATGCCAAAGCTTCTGGCAAATACCGGACCTCTAGTTTGCACAGAGCTGCTGCATCCCTGGCACCTTTCAGAGGGCCCCTCGTTCCAAGGTGGCAGGGGATAAGCCGAAGCTCTCATCTTTCTGCCCTTCAGCCCTGGATCCCTTTCCTCTGGCCCACTCAAGGGCAAACTGTTCCTGAATTTATGTGGAAGCTCACTGAGTGCAAGAAACATAGCAAAACAAAGGCATTAAGCCCTGACATTTTATTTTACAGATGAGAAAACAGAAGCAATGAAAGGGAGTGACTCCCTCATCGTTAACTTCTTCTACTCCAGCCTCTAGCCTTAATTCAGGGCAGAAGCCTTCGGTCAGTGTTAATACATACAGATGGGAATTAAAAGTGGAACAATTTATCACTGTCACTGATGCTGTATCCTTGCTACATTGGGTCTGATGCTCAAGAGCCCTCACCAACGGCTCTGCATTAAATCACAGATTGTGTGGGACCCAGACGGTTGTCCTGGTGTGAATTGCTCTTAACATAAGATTTGGGGCCTTCAGATGCTGCCAGTAGCATTGAGCCCCCACTCAGCATGGATGGGACTAACAAGCCCTTTCCTAGAGATGGGAAATCAAGGGAGACACCTTCCTTTCCTTGCTTCCAGGTTCGTCACCTATACCCACCGTACAACAGATGTACAGAGAAGCACACTTTTTTGTCTCTTCAACATGGAATGCATAGGTCTTCCCCCCATTCATCCCCCTTCTTTTTCTCCCCCGCCTAGTCCTCTTCCATTCAAAGCATTGCAGACACTTCTCCCTGCGAACACTTCTTCATTTGGCTGAACCCTGGTAACCCAGTCTCAGGAAAAGGAGGAGGGGACTTAACCAGGTGGGTGGCTCACATCCAGCTCCTACATCCGGGGCCCCTCTTATTATTTGTATCCCAGTTGGAAATGCTGCCAACTCCTCTAGAAAAATCCTGCCAGCTCCAATGCCCATCTCCAGTGCCTTTCCTTTGAGGTTTTCCCCAACTTTCTGACCACATGTCCTCTTTTCGCTGGGGGAGTCCAAAGCTCTGATGGCGCAACTTGATCTGACGTGTGTTGCAGCTATTGATATATAAGATCCTTTAGTCTTTGAATACAGGGTCTTATCTTTATTTTCACAACTCTTAGCAAATAGTATAACCACCCAGTAGATATGGGCAAATTGAAATTTTAAAAGCCTCATGGGGCGCCTGGGTGGCGCAGTCGGTTAAGCGTCCGACTTCAGCCAGGTCACGATTTCGCGGTCCGTGAGTTCGAGCCCCGCGTCAGGCTCTGGGCTGATGGCTCGGAGCCTGGAGCCTGTTTCCAATTCTGTGTCTCCCTCTCTCTCTGCCCCTCCCCCGTTCATGCTCTGTCTCTCTCTGTCCCAAAAATAAAAAATAAAAAACGTTGGAAAAAAAAATAAAAAAAAAAAAAGAGCCTGATGAATTTTTTTAAACTAGATCCAGCAGAGGGCCAGGAAGCCGGGAACTGGCTAACCTTCCCTCCAACTGTGCACACCGTCCAGAGGTTATCGTTGCTGCTCCCCTGCTGTATCCAAGCCTGTACCTCCAGGTTCCTGTGAATTCTGAGAGTCCCTAATGACCGTCCCATAAATGCCCCTTTGCTAATTCAGCCACTATGACTCTCTGTTACTTGCAGTCAACAAACTCTAAGTGACCTATCCCTTCCAGGCTCCCAACCCCTACAATAACATTCTAATCCCATTCCCATTTCTTGTTCAGATCTAGCAACTCAAACATAGCAATTAAACCACAAGTCCTGCTAAGCTGTGCATTAGGCTTCGTTCTCAGACGAGAGAGTGGGCAGATTGTGTGACAAGGAATATAGTCCTTAAGTGTCAGCTCTCCCTGTAAGACACTGACATTCTGATTTACAAATCAAACTTTTGTTTATTTGACAGTATGTGTCAGGCTGCCAGGGCCGGAACCTCCCAAGCCCCTGGGAATT